GTGGGAGAACTTGCACAATTGGTGGCTGACTAAATACTTTTTTGCCCCACTGTATAAGTTAGAGGAAATCTTGGCCACCTTTGAATTTGACCATCTTAAGCTAGGTTATTTCCCTTCGCCAGTTTCCCTATCTGAAGCAGGAGAGGAGCATTAGCTGCATCCACTTTAGTCACCCTGTGGATGTCCAGAATATTCTCACTTTTTCTAAAAGTATCGCAATTCGGTTCTAGACCCTGTTACCCTCAGCTTGCACAAAAACATCCGTACATTATTTGCAAACCAGCACCTTGTTACAATATAAAAAAGCATACAGTATTGTCCCTGGGTTCCCCCTTTAGGGAAACGTGACCAATTCACTGAAGGCCAACAGAGAATACTGCAGCATCTGCTCCAGTGCTGGGAAAGGCGTAACCAAATATTTTTGGTTGGAGGGGAGGCTTATGCCTTTAAAGACCTCCTGCCTCCATCATCTTCCCCACATGATCCCCAAGGAGTGTCTTTGCAGAGGACCTTTGGTCTTTTATTTCTTTCCAGCTAATGGGTGGTTGGAAAGGGCTTGCGCTGTCTGCCCATCTGCAGGACAACACTCCCAAAAGTGAATAGAATGGGACCAAATGTGTGGAGGAAGAAGCCAGCAAAAGAAAGACTGAGTTTGAACATGGGCTGAACCTGGCTGGGGACTGTGGAGAAAAAACGTTCCCCGATGCAACCCGTGGGAGAGGTATCTTGGGATGTTGGTAACTGCTCCTTTTTAAGCCCCCTCCGGTTTCCTTCCTGATTGTGTGCCCTAGAGTGGGGCTGCCATTAAGGGGTTAAAAGAGTTGGTGAAACCATGCGCTGCAGGCTTTCCCCTCCTTCCTCAGTACAAGCCAGCTTTACAAGCTGTTTGTTTGTTTATGAGATCTGTATGGCTGCTCACCTTCAGAATTGCACCTCTGGGATTCGAGCATAGGATTAAAAACACAGAACAAAATAACCAAGAAACATCAAAAGCACAAAATGCGGTAAACCAAGGCCAAATTGCCATCCTATTCACGCTCATCCAATGTCCAGGGAAAAAACAGGTTGTTTAAGGAGCTGAATCCTCACCCAGCCACTTTTCCATCAAGCATGGAACCTGGTCAGCTGTAATATTGACTGATTGATTATATGCCCTGTAGTTAGTATTACCAATTACATAGGTAGATTTTCTCCCTGACAATCTATCCCTAACCTGGCCTTTCAGGTCTTCCAACAGTGCCCACATCGCCATTGCAACTGAGTCCCTCCCCCTTGCTGCTGGTCCTCCCTTCTCTTTCCTTCCCCCTTTCCCAGCATCAGAGACTTCTCCAGAGAGCTGGGTCTTCGTATAGTATGTCTGAAGTAGGATCATTTGAGCCGGTTCATTTGTGCCTTGAGTGAAAACTCTGGGATGATTTGTTCAATGATCCATCAGTTTGTTTCTTTGGCTATCCACAATATTCTCAGGAGTCTCCTCCAACATCAAAGTTCAGAGGTGTCAATACTTTTCCTCTCCTGCTTGTAGTACTACTGAAGGGAAGAGCTTTGCAAGTGCTACTTATTCAGAGCCCTCCTATATTTCAACAAGGAGTGAACAGCAGAGATCATTTGTGTGTCCCAGCCCAGCTGCCGTTTTAATGGCTTCAACTTCCAGACTGTGTTTTCCTCTGCAGAAGCTAAAATATGTTTCTTCTCCAGGAATCCAAATCAAGTAATGAGGACCCTTGGCAATGTCAGCTTTAGAGCTAAATGTTAATGGGGACCTCCAGGGTAAAACAAAAATCAGCCAACTGGCAGATTCAGGGTCGGAAAGAGATGTTGGCTTTGTGCCAACCCTCAGGCAGTTTGGACCTCTTCTTAATCCATTAGCATCAGCTGCTGACTCACATTATTGTCTCTGCTATATTAATGGTGTATCTAATTAGCACTGAATTAATCATTACAGGGGAGATGAGGAGTTGGGGTCGGTATTAAAAGAAAAATGTACCACTGGCCTGATTCTCCAACCAACGTGGAAGTTAGCCTTCTAAGGAATACTGGAGTCCCCTGTCGCAGGGATTTCTTGGTACCCGATACCTCACCCGCTTGAACTGGGTGAAGTATGGGTCTCCTCCTCTGAGCCTCTTCGCTTAACTCTTGCAACCATCTTCCTCCCAGCTCAAGGGAAGTTGAGGCCAAAGGGTGGACAAAGGAAGATGGGATGGGACTAAGTTTATCTGGATGGTTGGGAAGCCTGTATCTCTTGAGGCACACCGTGCGAACCCTTTTGCATATGTCTGCAAAAGGTGTTCCCTGATCGAGTCATTGCACACGCACACCCCTGCTCTGTATTGTCGTTTTCTTCCATTCCCATGCCTTGTGAAACTATTCCACTCCTTCTGCAGGTTAATCACTAGCACTCACACCCTGGTAGTCTCATCTGGTGCCAAGGAAGGAGTAGCTCCCACAGAGGGCTCTTGTTGTGAATCTGTGTACTT